CACCCCCTCCGCCCCCCTTTGCCGCTCCAGCGGCTCCCGCATCAGCACCGGGACCGCACCGCAGCATGGGAGCCCCGGCGCAGCTCCGAAAACACGCCTCATGCTGGATCTCCCTGATTTCCCTGGCTTCATTCCCACATTTCACTCTGGAGTCTGGGAGCCTTGGAGTCACCCTAAAGAAACCTTCCTAAACTTTAGATCAGCTTGTCGAGAGATTTTTCCCATCCCCTTTACTAATATACCTAATATATTCAGGGGGCCCTGCCTCAGTCAACATGAATTGTAAACCATTTCTCTAATCCCCTCAACAATACCCTTTCCCAAACCTTTTTTCTATCTTAATTAGATATTCTATCCCTTTGGTTTAAAATAGTATTTTATTTCACTTAATGATTTCAACAAAAAAATATTAGGATTCCCCAAACAGACATGTTCCCTCTGAATTCTCTCATTCTTTTTTCACGGGCTTCAGTTTCATCTTTTTGTTGCTTTGTCAAAACACAGCTAATTGACTGTCCTAAAAGTACAATTTTAGTAATTTCTCTCAATGAAGCATCGCCGCCTCCTCTATTAACACTGCCTAATTGGACTTTGAATCCCCAGCCAGTGACTTCACCCATGCTATGGGCCCGGATCACTGCAACAGTAAATATCAGCATCCCAGTTAAATGTAGGTTGGCTCACATTCCCCCAAAATTGGCTTTCTGCTCCTTGGAGTCCAATCTGATGTAATATTACATTAACCATTTTTTTTTTTCTAGGGGAATTGGAGGAATGGAGGAGAAGCTGAAGCGCAGCTCTGCATTTCATCTCCTCGGTAAAAGCGCGTTTGCTCCCTGGCGCCGGCGAGGAGGGAGTGCTGCGGATCCACGGAGCCTGGTGGGAGACTTTACGGCCTCCCCAGCCTCCCAGCCATCGTTCCCAAGTTTGTTTCTAGCAGCTCTGACTCCAGAGAGCACACCAGGTAAGGAGACAGTAGTGCCGATCCCCGTGGGGCCCCGCAGCTCCGGAGGGGTACCCACCACCCCGTCCCTGGCACATCACCTGGAGATGGATCCCAGGACAACTCTGCTGTGGGAAGTGGAAACTGTTTCCCATTCTTTCCCCTCCTTCTCCAAAATACACGCTACATGGCACGTGGCTTTCAACCATCGAAGACCTTGGCACATACTGGGGGGCCAGGACGGTTGACCGGCCACGCCACACTGCATGCGGCAGCAAATCACCCCCAGTATTATCTGCAGTGGCTCTAATTATCTTACAGCATCTGCTATTCAAATGCAAGCATCAGGCCAAGCTACAAGTATAAAACAGAAACAGAACTCGTTGATGCCTGTAATAGGCACCAAAGGCGTATAACTCTGCATAATTGCTAATTGTTATTACTATTGCATTTGATGCCAGAATTGCCCAGAGATGCCTCTTGCTGCTCACTTCCCTGCGGGATTTTGGAGGGTGCTGAATCCCACCACGACCGGCAGCGTTTCCCTCGGCAGAGACCCCCCGCGGCGAGGGAGGTCGTAGCCACCCCGCGAGCCTGCTGACCCCTTTCAGAAAACGTCAGCGCCTGCCACACCAGCAGCGAAAACTGCAAAGGACAAAGTTAACTGCAAGTTTAAGCGCGAGATCAAAGAGCGTGAGGATTTACAAGGGACAGGCCTTTGACGCCCCGAGCGCCAGACAAAGCGCTCCCCGCCACGCCACGCTCCAGCTTTCAGCTCCGACAGCGAAACCCTCTGGGGCCTAATGAAGCCACTTGACCTCTTGCTACCCCCATTCTCCAATCTGCAAAAGAGGGTATTAACACTTCTGACATCCAAGGGGACTCGGATGGGTTTGACAAGGGCTGGCAGGGCTGCCCTAGCCCCGCTCACAGCTTTGCTGGGGGGCCACAACGGCACCGCATAAAAACACCGTAAGATACCCCATTATGTAGGCTTTGGAGAGCTCTTCAAGATACAAAACACTATCAAATGTTTTTTTCCCCTTTGCTGCTGCATACCTTTGCCCTCTGTAGGGATCAGCCACAACCTCCATCTGTATTTCTGAAATGCACTGGATTTTCAGTCGCTCGTGCTCCGACAGCTCCGCCATCCGCACTCCTCCAGGTGCGAAGCCCTTACAAATCCTACCAAGAAAACCCATTTCTACTCCACAGTTACACAACCCACTTACAAATTTACAGCCAGTCAAGCCTTTGCTCCTCCAAAGTGATTCAGCGGGCTGCTTCTCCTTGCCAAAAGCCTGGCATGGAGGCCCACAGCTCGGGAGGATGATGTTTAGCGCTGGTCCGGATTTGGTCCCAAGGAGACGGGGCTGTGCAGCACAGCAGAGGGCACTCCAGCCCGCTGCACCCATCCAGCCGAGCGGCGAGGACCCCGCTTAAAAGATGTTGCTATCAGCTCTTTCCTTATTGCAGGCAAGTGCTCCAGCGATAAATGTTTTCTTGTAAACATGCCATAGATGGAGGTAGGAGCCAACAAAATGGAGATGCCAGAAGCTTTTTGTCTTCGTGATTTAGTTTCTTATTAGAACATGCTACTGGGAAAGAAAAGATATCATTGATAAGACTGACATTAGAGTCAGCCAGTAAAATTAAAACCCCAAGGACTGGCCTGGCCCTTTTCTTGTCAGGCAGGAATACAGATTCTCTGCCAAACTAACACTTTAAGATACTCATAAATGCTAGGGACAAAACTTTCAAATAAAGAAAGAAAGGATTTTTGCTGCCTTCGGTTTTGGCAGAACAGTTTCAGATGCTTTAAAGGGCCTGGCTTTGCATCCGAGCATTCGCCCCCCTGCCCCAGAAGAGGACCCAGCCCCAGGAAGGCGCCGGCAGCCGTGGGCTCGGGGCTGGAAGCATCTTGTGTTTCTGCATCCTTCCAAAAAACTTTGGTCTAAATGATGCTAGAGAAAGCAAGCCTCGAAGCACCACAGTAAGCTTCTGCCTCCATCCAGAACTTGAAAGGGCATGTGCAGGGGGTGTTGACAGATAAAACCAATTCAGATGCCAGTTCCTCTCGATGTCTGCAGGCTCGTGGAGCTAGAGCAGGAGCCATCACAAGCTCTGAGGTGCTGGGAGTTTTATTCCTGGCTGAATCTCCAGTTACTACTCGGAGCTCAGATAAATGCTCCGATTTAGTCTCACTGGCCTCATTCTCCTCTTTCATTTTTCACAGAGAAAACCTTGCCCAGAAAGCACATTTTTGCATGACAGGGTGACGAGTCCGTTCTGTGTCTGGGTCCTTTATCTCAGGGCACAGAGGACCGAGCTTTTAAATTCACCCATCTTGTGCCCAGCACTGCTACCAGCAGCGCACACCGAGGCTCCAGCCTAGACCAGCCTGGCGTGGACAGACCCGTGGCCCGTGAGCACCGTGCCAGCGTGGACAACACATCCCCCCTTCCACGATGCAGCTTGGTGTCATTCGGACCGTCTCGTGCCCCGCCGCAGCAGGGCGCCTCAGCCAGCTCCAGGTCGAACGGGGTTCTGCTGAGAGCACGGGAAGCTGCACGCTGCAGGGCAGAGCTCTGCACATCTCATCTCATCTAGCTACCGCTTCGTCTTCTGAGAGGAAAGGGGGAAACAGCAGGTTGATGAGGAAATATGGACCTCTGTGTGCACTGCTTACGTACGGATCTAACTGAGCACTGCTGCTTGTGCTTGCACATTTTAGGGATGTGTTTATCTTATAAATAAGCCCTTACAATAATCTTACAGCAAGCTCTTAAAATAATCTTACAAACAAGCACTTCTGCATGCGTTCAACCATAAGCACAAGGGAGGTGATGGGACTTAAACCCACCTCCAGTTTTGCAGCACCAGCCCCGCGGCCACACACCGGGCCATGAAGCAGCAGCAGCTAGCCGGGCTCACAAGAGGGCTTTCTTAATAAATTCTGATTAATAGAGAACAAGTTCCTCCTCTCCCTGCCCCTTTCACAGCCTCTCTAAAACCAGCCGCCCAAGCCCGCTCTGACACGTGTGTACCACCTGAGTCTTACACCAGTGTTACATGTCATTAACAAAACATAAACCAGCGGTCATATCTTAACGGGAAAAGTTAAATCTCTTTATGCAGTTAAATAAAGATACCTTGTCCAGTCATTAAGAAGTGATTAGCTTATCTAACAAATAACAGCGCTAGTGCTGTCAGACCGGCACACAAACACTAAAAAGAGCAGGGATCAGATATCACATTAGGCTAATTATAAAGAGAAGAAAAGACAAGCAGAAGCATAAAATAGCCATGTGGACAGTATTTTGCTGGATTTTTTCTTTGCACGCAAAAGGCTAAACACATTCTGAAAAAGAGAAATTTGAGTATTAAAAAAATTCCTCTCCTGGTTTTATTCATTTAGTACTGTACGTAAGAGGGCAGCGCACATGCATGCAGTCTTTCAGGTTGTGTGAAGCAGTGGCCAAATCCTGATAAGGACCAAGTTTCTTAAACCTAACAGAAATCCTTAAATCTCTTGCACAATCAACCTGCAGCACAATTCCAGGTCTTGGGCTCTTTGCACAACAGAAGGAGCAAGGCAGCACGGCCCAACCCGCACACCTCCCGCTCGCCCCCTCGCCGTGGCCAAGCTCCTCCTCCTGCGCAGCCACAGAAGCTCCTGGGCAGTTTTGGAGACCGGGTACACTCAATTTCTTGCCAATGCTGGTGCGTTCACCAGAGCCGCCTTGCCCAGCCCCGAAGTCCAAAGATGCTTAATTTTCATCAGCAAGAAGCTAAGCATCCTTCCTGCAATTTCTACCCTATTTACACTCCTAGAAATAAGGTTTATCCTCACACTGCTATCCACCAGCTGGATGGTTTCTACCTGCGTGCCACCCTTCCCACCGCACTCAGTGGCCTCCAGTGCACGAACTGTGCATCGTTTCTGCAGCAACCACGCCATCCTTGAGCCCGTAAGGCAAGATTTATGGGCCGGCTGTCCTGACACCTTATGCATTTCACTCCCAGGTTATATTTGAGGAAAAAGCTCAACTTCTAAGATCAGGAGACAAAATTCAATATACCAAGCCAGAAGCTGCCCAAGAGGGAAAAGCTGCAGCAGAAAGCACCAAAGCTCTCAGGTCCTCGCTGGAGACAGGAGTCTGCTGCTACTAGGGGTGATGGCTGTGGCTGCTCTCCCTGCTCCCAGGCTTATAAACCACATGAGTCGTTTCTCACTCGAAACACAAAGAACTGATGCCGTCCTTAGGATGCCGAAGACCCAGGCTGAAGCCCCTCTTCTGCTCAAATTACAACAGAAATTTGACCCTGTTTTCTGAAGGATGCCCTAAACACTCGTTGCCTTGTAGAGCCAGCACCTTCATCTGGTGAATATGGGAAGTCCTTGCTCTGCGCCCACCCAAGCTGCGGACCTGCAAGATCCAGTCAGCTGTTTTGGGACACAGGCACTGAGCAGCCAGCAGATCCCACCCAAACCAGGGGCCACCCTACCACCCGTGAATGCCGTCGTGAATGCGGCTGAACGCCTGCTGCTGGAGCAGTACACAACCAGAGTGCAGTTATCTATGACAACGTTTGAAACCTGCAAAAATCTCAGCACTTGAGAGACTTTGGGGGCAGAAAGCTGGGTGCCTGGCAGTGTCAGGAACCTCCAGAATCAAGTAGGGGTTGTGAGGATCTCGAATTTGAATTTAGGCTTAAAACATCATTTGGCGGGAGCAGGCGAGATGCAGACGCAGCTGCAGGCAGGCAGCTGCCCACCTTGCTCCAAGACCCAGCTAAGCACAGAGCTGTGCTCCCCTGCCAGCCACGGCCAGAGACAACCCCCCAGCTCTGCATGGGATGTGCCGATGCTGAAGAGATACCCATCCCCTCGTGCCACGGGTCAGGACATCACCCACAACAAAGTTTTCCAACAAAACTGAAGCACTGGCCAAAGAAGCAGAGGTCAGGACCCGTGTCTGAATGACCGGTACAGCCAGAAATATCTGGTCACTGTTGGGGGAGAAGAGAGGTGATTTTCCATTTTTAACACTTGCCTCCTTTTTAAAGCTTTTATTTGCAAAAAACCTAATATTAATAATGAAGGCAGATCCTACTTTCCTTGAGGTAATGCCAATATTAATGCATTTTTTTTTACATAACCATAGTCTTATTGAGGAACAAGTAGTAAGTGATAGATACTTTAATGTAATATGAGTCAATATGTATTTATATGTGCTTTATGACTTAATCAATATTGCTACATTAGCAAGAATAAATATGGTGTTTCCTTTTCTGGCCTTGGAAAGAGCAAATAAGGAAAGTCACATTATGAAGTTTAGGAATGAATAAAATCTCTGCATTTCCCAGACAATTCAGTAAATCTCTAACATTCATTTGTTCTCCAGAGCAGAGCAAGTATCTCCTGGGGCAGGGCGCTGGGCAGGCGGCACCTGGAGACTCAGATTGTGACTTTGGTTCAAATATTTCACAGATAGCTCCCTAAGAGGAATTTAAAAAAAAAGGAAACAGGCCCCAGCACAGAGTGTACGTCCACTTCAGCATACCAAAACCCAAGATGAAGGGCTTCGCACCCTGAGCAAGGAAAGGTTTTACCACTGAAGAACAAGAGTGCACAGCTTGCGTTACCCCCATGCTGCTGCAACCAGCACCTTCCCAAGCTGCACATAGCCCAGCACCCTAGCAAAAGGGAATGAGAAAGTGCTCCCGATTCAATACAGCTCAACCCATTCACTGCTGCAAAAGGTACAGGTTGTGACAGGCATGAGACATCCATTTTTATTATGGACAGAAACTTTTCCACCAATTATTTGTTCTGGGGTACTGGCCTCACCCAATGCAGCAAAGAAGCCCAGCCCCACCAGCAAGCCATTCATCCTACACATCCTATGTGTTCATCCTACATTGGCAGGCCTTTGGCTGGAGCAAACCTGCTGGGAAAGCTCATCCCCAGCTCCTCTTTGCCCTTGCTGCCCCCAAGTCGGAGTTAGGCTCCTGACTCCTCCTTGAGTACATACCCTGCATAACCAGTTATCTTTGCACAGTGCAACGCCATGTCACCTTCCTCCTGATGGACCAACGCCGGGAGCGAGAGCCAGCATGTGCAAACTGAGTCTGGGCACCCTGATGG